CTCAGGCTCCAAAAGTGAATGTTAAAATTGTTTTCTTAAAATAAACCCTAAAAAATCAGCTCTCTCTTAAGCAAATAATTCTTCACAAATTGCTTATGGCAAAGGAAATTGTTCAGAGAGGGGGAAAAATGCTGAAAATGTCTATAAACAATGATAGTATTTACTGGGCACAGATTGTGCTGTTAAGTTTTATATACATGATTCACTCAACAAATATTTATTGAAAGATTATGTGCTAGGCATTATTCCAGGCATTGGAGATAAAGTATTAATCAAAATAGAAAACATCTGTGTCATAATGGAGCTTAAATTCTAGTTGGTGAGGGTAGATAAAAAAGAAAATGAGGTAAACAAATTCTATGTATTAATATGGAGAAAAATACAGCAGGAACAGAAGAAATAAGTTCATGCCTGGTGTGTGTGAAGTTTCAGAAAATGAAGACAGAGGTTTCACTGAGATGGTGATCTTTGTGTTAAGACTGAAGAGGGAGCAACCATGGCAGTATCTGAGGAAGTGGGGGGGGGGGGGGCTGGCCATAGCAGTGCTGGTGGAGGGGAGAGTGAGGGATGAGCCAGCAGGTAACAGGACTGGGCCAGCCATGCTGAGGACTTGGGCTCACACAGGAAGCTGCTGGGAGGTGCTGAGCAGAGGCATGACGTGCACAGGCTTAGGTTAGAGCAGGATCAGTCTGGTTCCTGTGTGAGAACATAGTGAAAGGGGGCAAGGAGGAGGAGGGAGTCCAATTAGGAAGCTATAGCCTGGATTCTGGATGGAAGATGATGACTTGGACCAGGATGACAACCATAGAGAAGGGAAGAAAGGGGATTCTGCATAGATTTTGAAGATAGAGCTTTTCTAATGTTTTGGATAGGGAGTGAGAGAAGGAGAGGAGTCATGGCTGACTGCAAGGTTTTGGCCAGAGAAAGGAAGAATGGATGATGCCACTGCTAAGATGGCAAGGAGACAGGGATGAGAAAGTTTGAGGAATAAGATCAGGAGTTTAGTTTTGGACATATGAAGCTGGAGGTATTTGGCAGTGAAGTAGGTCAGGTTCAAGGAGGAGGTTTAGGCTGGAGGTACACATTTGGCAGTAACTGATGTGCAGAAGACAGTCAGGACTCTGGATGAGATCATTTTCTTATATAATTCCTACATCACCACCATGACAGAGATATTATTTAACCCATTTAGATAAACAAACTGAAGCTAGAGAGGTTTGAATAGTTTGCTCCAAGTTGTATAATAGGTAACCATGTGTATTAAATGTTCATTCTTTTATAATTCTCATGTAGCAATAACTTCTTCTGATTATGAGTAAATTATTTCTCTAGCTTTAGTTTTTTATATGCAAGATCATGAGATAAACAGTTTTCTTTTTCTTTTGGTACCAGGGATTGAACCCAGGGGTACTTAGTTACTGACTCAGATCCCCAGCCCTTTTTATTTTTTATTTTGAGACAGGGTCTCACTAAGTTGCTTAGGGCCTCAGCAAGTTGCTGAGGCTGGCTTTGACCTTGTGGTCCCCCTGCCTCAGCCTCCCGGAGCTGCTGGGATTACAGGCGTACACCACTACACCCGGATAGGAGATCACTGTTTTTCTAAGTGGGCTCTGTGAATCTTAAAAGAAAGAGAGGCTCAGAAGGCAGGTTTCAGCATTTCCACCCAGCCCGAGGGAAATGTCTCTGCCTTTCACCTGTACTTACAATGCTTGGACTTTATGTGAGAATGTACTTGGAAAAAAATTTCCACCTTTTTATCAAAAGTTAGAAAAATTTGCTAGACTAGGTGGTGACCTCTATTACTCTACCAGTTTCATGTTTTTCTTCAATAAGCAACTGGCGCCTGCTTCTGCTTGTCTATACACTGTGCTCTGTTCTTAGTATTCCACTCAATGTTGAGAAGGGAAGGAGGGATAGGGATTTTTCCCATTTTATGATTAAAATGTCAGGAGACAAGAAGCAACTGTATGTCTATGGAGCCATTGTTTGCTTGCTTATCCATGCATCTGTCCATGCATCCATTCATCATCTATCATCTATTTTCACCATCCACCTCTCAATGTATTCATAAAACTGAATCTAGTTAGGAAATATTGATAGTAGCATAAAACTTAAAAGCATGACATACTAGTCTGTTTTGTTCTTATATGGCTGATTACCTTTCAAATCATAGGAGTGTGGGGAGAAAGAACAGTTTTTGAGGTGTGTTGGTTTGGCATAGTGAATTTTAATGTCTCCCCTAAGGGGGAGGAGACATTGCACTACCCACTTTTGATGATATCCCAAGAGATGTCTTGCACTTAGGTACAGAAAGGATTTGATCCAGTCTTGTCCTGGCTTAGAATATAGATAGGCATATATTGATGGTGCCTCAAATTGTTTTGGGTGAGGATGGGGCAGAAGGTGGACAGGGAAGATGTTTGAGAGCCATGGTAAGGGTATGGGTTTAAGAGCTTGATGACTAAGGTAGTTGGTTCCAGGCAGCAAGGGCCTCAAGAGCAGCCTGCACCTTCAGGCTGAGTAGCCACTGCTGTGGCAGCCTCTATATGCCTATTCACAAGCTTCCGGCTCAAACCATAGCTGGATCTCTCTGGGTCCCCTCTGTGAGGTCACTGGCCTGGATGATGTACCTGCTGAGGGGGATGTGGGTCTCCCTGGATGGTCCCAAGGAGGCTTCAGCCTGGTTCATATGTCCTCTTGTGGTCCTCAAGGCACAATGCAAGCCCTGGTAGTGCTCTTAAAATCAAAATTAACATTAAAATTCACTGTGCCAAACAAACATACCTCAAAAACTATTCTTTCTCCCTACACTACTATGATTTGAAAGGTAATCTGCCATGTAAGAACAAAACAGACTAGTATGTCATGCTTTTAAGGTTTATTCTACCATCAATATTTCCTAACTAGATTCTAATTTATGAATACATTGAGAGGTGGTAGATGCTCTCTGGCGCCTGCAGCATCTTCACCCTGACCAGATGGAAGCTCTGCCTAAATGTGGAATCAAATCTTGGATTAGCCGCAGCTACATACCACCTGGTTTATCTTGAATTCTCTCTGGGCTGGGTGCACGAGGAGGATTGCGACTTAAGAAGCCCCCTGTGTCGTCCCAGCTGTCTGCTGCAGGCAGAGAGGCCAGTTTTTGAGGTTTTATTTTGTGTCAAGAAGTTTGTTTAACTTTTTCCTCATGACAATTAAGTGAAATATTATTCCCTATATTTAGCAGATAAGGAAACTAAGGCTTTGAATGTAACTTGGCTGTGGTCACTCAGCAGATTTTCACATCAAGATCTGTCCCACCCTAAAGCCAGTACCTGTGTATCAGTGCTATCAACAGCTTGCAACTAAGTCACAAAAGCTTTCTGTTTGCCAAACTTCATTAAGGTTTCTTTGAATTCGAGAAATTACATTCCTTTCACCTTCTAATTTATAGTTTTATGGTTTTGATTATGCATTGCCACACTGCTTTTCAAGATGCTGTCCTTTATTGCCAATACTAAAGTACAGACAGATCCACTTTACTACATCCTTGCCACCACTGGGTACTGTCATTTGAAAACTTTTTAAAAAAACTTACCTGAATCAAATGTGGTGATGCACACCTGTAATCCCAGCTACTCAGGAGGCTGAGGCAGGAGGACTTCAAATTCAAGATCAGTCAGAGCAACTTAGTGAGACCCTATCTCAAAATAAAAGATAAAAAGGACTGGGGATGTGGCTCAGTGGTGCAGAACCTCTGGGTTGAATCCCCTGCACTAACAAAACAACCAAAAAAACCTTCAGTTGGTTGCTTTAATTTTCAGAACATTGTCTTTTAAATTAATTTGAACATTTCTTCGTGTTTGCTAGCTTGTTACCTTTCACCTGTATAATTCCAAATGAGAAGACACATGTAAGAGTGTTGAAAATGGTGAAAAAATATAAAAACCTACTTGTTAAATGAGTGATTAAATTATACTACATAGATATGGTAATAGCCTAGGTAGCCAATAAATACTGATATTTTTAAAGAATGATTAAAGATATGAGAAAATATTAAGTAAAAAATGTATATACACACACACATATATTGAAAATGCAGTAATTCTTATTTTTTTAAGATAGAAGAGAAGAAAGCTATAGATAACTTTCTGCTTCTTGTCCTGAAGATAAGTAAGGCAATATTGCTATTCTTGGTCATGTTCCTGATAATGAGCAAGGTGTGGCAATTATTATTCAACCTTACAGGAAGCTCTGATATCATTGGTTAAGAAAATGTGTTGCTTCTATTGTGAGGTGGGATTATGACTGTTTTACAATGTGACTTCTTGGCAGCACAAGGATGGTCTAACTTTAGTGCTCTATTGGGGTTTATCTTTTCTTAGAAATGTAATTTCAGATGTTGTCCAAGGATTGATTATGCTCAAAGGAAGACAGGGAAGTCTGGGGCTAGTTAAATGTCTTCCTCTGGTCCTCAATCCTATTCTTTATTTTGGGAAGAATTTATGAAAATGGTAATTTTCTTGCCTTTGTATTTGTGAGGACTACACATAGGTTATCTTGCAAATATTAAAAACTACAAATTATACTGGATTAGCTTAAACATGAAATTTAGAACTAACACCTTTCCAATTTTATTATAAAACCACATTTTAATAATCTGTTACCTAAGATATAACTTTTTGCTTCTTTCATCTTCTTTACCTATACTTTTACATAGTTTTGATCATGTATACACGAAATTATTTTTACTATGGTGCCTCTGTTATAAACTTTAGATGACATTAATGATTTCTAATGGTTGAGCAGGGGATGTAGCTCAGTGACAGAGGGCTTGTCTAGCATATGCAAGGCTCTGGGTTCAATCCCCAGCAACACTAACACATATCTGTCTAATGGTTACAGCTAACAACAGGTCTGGCAAGTGGCTCAAATGTTAGCTCACTTGATGTACAATAAATATTTGAGTGCTTATGGTGTGGTGTATTGGGGACATTTCAGAAAATAAGACAAAGTCCCAGTTGTCATAAAATTTTTATTCTAACAGGGGGAGACAAAAATTTTAAACTCATGTGAAAAGGTATTTATTATCACCCCTATTTGAGCATCTGAACCTCAGAGATCAGAGAATTTGCTCAAGATCATCCCACTAGTAGGTATTAAAGCAATGATTCCAACCCAAGCAGCTGTGGCCAGGACTTGAATTTTTAGCTACTGCTCCACTGGTACTAAGTGCTCTGGGAATTCAGAGGACAGGTCAGTGAGAGCTGGAATAGTTGTATTGGTTTCTTGCGCCTGCTATAATAAATTACCATAAATGTAGTGACTTAAAAGGACACAAACTTATTATCTTATGGTTCTGGAGATCAGAAGTCCAAAAATCAGCTCCATTGGGTTAAAGTCAAGGTGTCTGCAGGGCTGACTCCTTCTTGTATGCTGAAGGATGTGCCGGTTTCCTTTTTCAGCTTCCAAAGGCCACCTTCATTCCTTGGCTCATAATGCCTTTCTCCCATCATTCCAATTTCTTGCTTCTGCTATCACATCTCATACCACAGCCTTTTTGTGTGTGTGTGTGTGTGGGGGGCAGGTAGCAGGGATTTAACCAATGGCTTTCTACCATTAAGACACATCCCTAACACCTTGTTTTTCTTTTATGAGACAGGGTCTTGCTAAGTTGTTTAGGGCCTTGTTAAGTTACTAAGGCTGGCTTTGAACTTGTGATCCTCCTGCCTCAGTTTCCAAAGTTTCTGGGATTATAGGCAAACGTGTGTGACCATGCCTGGCTTATCACTACCTTTGACTTTCCTGCCTTTTTTTAAGAACTGGTGATTATGCTGCACCCCTACATAAACTGATAATTTCTGTATCTCAAGAGCCTTAACTCAGTCATCTGTGAAGTGCCTTTTACCATGTAACATATTTGCCAGTTCTGGTGATTATAATGTGGACATCTTTGGGAGGGTTTTATTTAGCCAACTATAGTTGTGGACACTGGAAGGGCCAAAATTTGTGCTTTGGGACAAAAAGGAAGAATTGCAGGAAAATGAGAGTGTTTCTGTGAATTCCCTTTGTAGATGGCTTTCCTATGCCAGGCTCAGGGCTTCCTGTTAGTTTTATAGGACTGCCATTACAAACTACTACAGATTAGGTGACTTAAAAAGCAAATTTGTTTTCTCACAGTTCTGGATATAAAATGGCTGAGATCAAAGTGCTAGCAGGTTTGTTTTTTCCTGAGGCCTCTATCCTTTGCTTGCAGATGCCAGCTACCTTCTTGCAGTGTGTGTGTGCATGGTCTCTATGCATTCATTTGTCTAGTGTCTAGTCTAGATTTCCTTCTTACAAGGACATCAATCACACTGGATTAGTATACACCCTAAAGATCTCATTTTAACTCAATCACTTCTTTAAAGATCTTATCTGCAAATACAGACAAGGGGTATTTTGAGATACAAGGGGTTAGAACTTCAATATATGAAGTTTTCTGGGGCATAAAAGTCAGTCCATAACTCAAACATATCCCAAATTAGTTAAATGTTAATGATAGCTCAGTTTGGCAGATGAGGACATGGTGCCAGAGGGGTCCTAGCTGAAGACTGCCAGAGTACTCACACCTGGGCCTATTACTCCAGGGGCCTCACCATACTATCTGCTGGCAGAACAGTTGTAATGACAGAGAAGGGCGTGAGTGTGATCTGAAGATAGTGAAGAGAGGCCCTGAGGGTTGAGGTTTGAGGCTGAGTTGGGAAATGGTAGGGTGGGACCTGATTGTGAAGGCCTTTCTAATCTAGGCATTGAGCAAAGTAGCAAAGAAATTCAGGAAGAGGGAGAGGCAGCACATGTGATATCATAAATTTAAGCAAGATGATTGTCCACAATTTATAGAACTCTTTCACTCATTTCTCTATACAGACTCACAGAATCCAAAGTAGATGTCTAGAGCAAGGACTCTATCCATTTAATAGATTTCCCAAGACTGGTGACTCCCACTGTCATTTTATGTCTGGCAATACCCCTCATAATTATACACGGTACAGACAATCTTCACTGTAGATGGATGACAATTGTTCTTTCTGAGCCTGAATTGTTTTGAGTCCTTGATTCTAGAGGCTAATATCCTACTTCATCTTTTTTTTCCTATCTTACTCTTACCCATTTATATTGTTTTTTTTTTTCTGCTTGTCTACTGGAAGACAAAAACAGAAATGTGAAAGAACTAAAATGATCCAGTTAAGTTTTAGCAGCTTTTGAGAGCAAGTGAATCTATGAATTAACTTTCTCTTCTCCTGCCCCGATTCTTCACAAATGGCTGCAAGATTTTTATTGATTCCAAAATTTCTTTCAATTTTTTTCAACTTAGGAAAATGAAACCAATGCCATTCATCCTCCTTTTAACTGAAGTCAATGATAACGGGTTAAGATGGTTAAGCATTTTAAAATATAACATGATATTATTAAGAAAACAAATCAATAGATTTAAATTCTATCTTTTTTTTTTTTAAAGATAGAGAGAGAGAGAATTTTTTTAATATTTTTTTTTTAGTTTTTGGCAGACACAACATCTTTGTTTGTATGTGGTGCTGAGGATCGAACCCGGGCCGTACGCATGCCAGGCGAGTGTGCTACCGCTTAAGCCACATCCCCAGCCCTTAAATTCTATCTTGATCAGTGTAAGAATTAGGTAAAATTAAAGGCAATCATATTTAATTAAAAGTAGGGTACCATGTTCCTCCTTCTTCCTCCTTCAATTCACTGCTACTACAGCAAAGTTACAGCTGCTACTTCTGTCCTAAGTCTTAACACTTTCAATGTTTCATTATTTGCTGGAAAAAGTTAAACAATTTTTCCTATGCTTATTGATCAGTGATGGGAATATGTAAGTGCTCAGTCAGTTGCATTACTGTCACTGTCATCAATATTATACAAGTTAACATTTGTTGCTGCCCACAACCCACATATACAAGTGATTGCCTCTTCATTTCATTGTCCATGATAGTCACTTAAATCAAGTAAAAGGTATTTTAGGTTAACAATAAGTGCTGCAAGAAAAAAGCAACGAAGAGCTTTTTAGAGACAGGAAGTATGGGTAATATCTGTATAAATTTTAGAAACAGTGACTAAGAAAAGCCTCTTTGAGAAGGTGAGGTTCAAGAAAAGACTGGAAGCCAGGTGCAGTAGTGCGTGCTTATATTCCAGTGACTTGGGAGGTGGATGCAGGAAGATCACAATTCAGTGAGAGAAAAGAAGGAAGAAAGGATGGGTAGGGGGGAGGGAAGCGGGGAAGAGAAAAAGACCTGCAGTAAAGGAGTAAGACCTAGTTTTCACTCAAGCAAAGTGAATAGTATATGAAAAGGCCCTAGGGTAGGAGTCTGCCTACACTGACTGAGAACAGTAAGGCACACAGCATGGCTGGAGCAGGTTTGAGTATGAAGAGTAATGAGAGATGAAGCCAGATCATGAAACTCTAGCAGGTAACAGGATTCTGAGTTTGTACTGAGCGACCAGGGGAGATCCTGGAGGGTTCTGGGCAGAGGAATGACATGACCTTACTTAGGTCACTTAAGAGAATTACTCTGGTTGCTGTGTTGGAAACATTCTGAAGGGGTACGGAGAAGAATGATACATTCAAACATGTTTCTAGTTTATAAATTATAATTAGATAATATAAAAAATAAATAGAAACTATATTTTCCTACAGAGACATTCATTTTGATGAGATACACATCAGGGTTTTTCTAAAGTGCCAAAACTCTCATGATTTCCATAACTTCAGATGAGAATTATAATGGGCAGAAGAATGCATCAACTTAAATATCAAGGTCATCTCAAATCTTAAAAGAGTCCCTGGTTTCTGTGACAGGGGAATAATTCTGCTAGCAAATAGATGAATTAAAACCCAGGTAAATATGATATAAATCTTCATCTTTTGGTTCTTACTTCTTTAACATATTGCACCAGATTGCTTATTTTACCTAATTATGTGCTTGCAAGGCCTGAGGGTGTTTTGTCAAAATTTGTTTTCCTAATTCCTAAACTTTATTTGCTACTTTTCTATTTTACTATCTTTATTTGCCTTTGTTTCATCTATCTTCTTTTCTTTCCACAAGTTCCCAAGGACAATCCCTAAAAAAATGATTATTCCTATTGTTCGGTTGGAGGTAAATTTATCCCAACAATCCTCAGGTCTGTGGATGTCTAGGGTGTAAATCTGTAAGAGAAGAACATAATACTGCATTGGTATCTAGTCAGGGTTTTGTAATATAACAAAGAAACAAATCAATACAGAGGAAATAGTAGTCACTGAATTTTAAGTAATGGGAAATACTGTATCCCAAATTGTTTCCCAATGTGGAAAAATCTATCATTATTTTTCACTGAGAATCATCCAAGCTGTGTCCTAAAAACTTCTGGTAAGGGGTGTGTGAATGCTTTGAGAGGTAACTCATACTATTCTTAGTTCTGACTATAGATTGAGCATCCCTAAACCGAATATCTGAAATGCTCCAAACTCCAAAACTGACACCACAGCAGACTTGACATCACAAGTGGAAAATTTGACACTTGGCGTCATTTAACAAACTGCAGTCAAAATGCAGACATATTAAAAACATTTTATAGAATTGTCTTCAGGTTATGTGAATAAGATGTACATGAAACAAAAATGAACTTAGTTTTTAGATTTGGGTCCCATCCCCCATATGGATATGCAAATATTCCAAAACTCTCAAGTATTTCTTGTCTCAAGCATTTCAGATCAAAAGTGTTCCCTATACTCAGAAAGCTCTTCCTTACACAGAGTGATCTGAAGTTGGTTTCCTTGCAACTCTCATCCTCTGGTTCAAACTTTACTCTCAACCAAGGACAAGTCACATTTGGGCAGGACAATTCTATTGTGCAGGGCTGTTTGGTGCACTGAAACAGTTAATACTCTTGGCTCTCAGTGACTAAATGTATGAGAGAACCAGGGATGTCCCTATACATTTCTAAACATTCTTCCCATCCCTACATGGAGAAGGGGATATAGAGAACCTAGAACACAACATACTTTCCCCTCCATGGTAGCCCTGCAAATATGTCATGAAAGTCTCATGTTCTTGTTTTAGTCTTCCCTAGGCATAGGGAACTAGTTCTTCCTCATTATATGGTCTACAGATTTAACATCATGAGTTTCCTTTCTACTCAAATACTAGAAGATTATATCCATCTTAGAACACTGCATTAAGGACTAGACATATGCAGCTGCAAATGTAAAGTGGGTTCCACAGATTCCTTATATTTGTGGTTGTTCTCATAATTTTTGTGTTCCTCTTCCATCTAATATCCAGGTGCTTAAATATTCATGTATATCTATTATCCAGACCAGATAATCAATTGATGATGACAGCCCTCATAGAAATGAGTTATGGCCAGAAGGGGATGCTGAGAAATTCTAAAGAGGAAAATGGTGATATTCTAGAGAATTACCAATTCACATCTTTTAGCTTTCACAATGAAAAAACAATGCCGGAAAATCAGTACATTAGATTTCAGTTTCCTTCATACCATTCCTTGTTGTACAAGTCTTGCCTACACTGACCAGTAACTCATAACAATCTGCCTAAAATAGATCACCTAAGCAAAGGTTCACCAACATCTTGTCAATTCTATTCAAAGAAAAAAAAAAGAGAACACTGATACAAATAGCCAATTTATTAAATTAAAATTAGATTTAGTTCATTCATTTTATAAGTCAATAATGCAGACTTTCACTATAAGCTTGTAGGGACTTGCGATGTGGTGCTGGGTGAATATTTTGAAATTATAATTTCCTTCTTTCTAGGCAGAACCTAGACATGTTTACATGTCATGTCTTACCTGGCACTGGTCTCAATGTCAGTGAAACCAAAACTTCTGAATGATTAGTCTACTAATCATCAATAGAAACTAAGATTTTTTTTTTTTTTTTTTTTTTTTTTAAGTTTGGTTTATCAGTTTGCTTTTAGAGTAATTCAACTCAATCCACAAGTTTCACACACTGCTGAAATTTTCCCAGATGCAGCAGAAGTAATTCCAGGAAAATCAAAGGGGAAAATCCAAGCTTAGGTTTATAATATTTCTCTAAAATAACTTAGCCAAATATTTAATATGACAACTTGGGGCAGGGGAAGGGGCAATTCAAGGTAATACAAATCAACTGGTTGTTTAAGAAGTTCCTTGCTAAACATAGAGGGCACTTTGTTTAAATAATTTTTATAATTTATACCAAGGAAAAATGAGAGAAAAAAGAAAAAGTTCAAACCTGGTGAGCTAGATGGGCTCCGACGGTGGCCAGAGCAGCATAGTATGGTACAGTTTGATCACTATTTACTCCCACTAGGCTCAGCGCCCCCATCATGGCAACACTGAAGCCAGTTAGCCACTGCTTGGTGTTTTCTTGGAACCGCAGTGCTGTGGACTTAAGACCAATCAGAGCATCGTCTCTTTTGTCCTAATATCAGAAAATAATAAGAAATTGTTTTGGGGGGGATTTAACTATATACACAAATTTCATATTTCAAAATGTATAATTTAGCAGTTTTAAATATATTCCCAAGGTTATTCAATTATCGCTAACTTTTAGCTATAGAAGAAAAGTCTTTTAAAGAGCATGCTGATATATCACGACCTGTAAGAGAAGACACTAACATAGAAATATAGACTAATCATAATGAATATGCAGACTGAACCAAATTTACATGCAATACTAAAATCATCAGCCAGCTCTATTCCCATGTATTTTATTTCTTATAACCAACCATAAAATGATTTAAATTATATCACATTACTATATCATGATTAAAACTCTAATTCTTCACATAGCTCCTTTCTACCTCAAAGTTCTCAAATCTCAATAATTTCTTACGTATTTTAATACAGGTAAAATGCTCACTCACCACATAATCACATCCATCCCCTATACTTGTAGCCCAATTCCTTGGCTTTCCCATCAAGTCTTTTCTGTTTATGCACATCTAGCTGTGTGGTCTCCCCCAGTAATTGTATGTTGTAATTAGGGTCACATGATATCAGTGGCTGCATGCTGAACTGTATACTCACCTGCGGACAGTCAGCTACCCGACAGGCTATCTTTTAGGGACCAAATCTAAACTACAGTTAAGTATGGGATTAACCTATTTCTTTTTCTTTCATACTGTAATCACATTCAGGGTAAAAACTGCCTAATTATGTGAATCATAAGTCTCAGTGAGTATGTGGTGTTTTACTAAAGAAGTCAATTTAATTGGAGTACAGTTATTCTAATCACTAGCTTAGTATCTCTCCTAAACTGTGAGTCAAATACTACTTCAGAAATAAGACTGATTACAGATCTGCTTCTCCATATGTAGCAGTAATAGAGTAAAAAGGATGAAATCTAGGTTGAAATACTACAAAAACAATTTTATTAAATCATGACATATTCTTTAAGCAAATAATTGAGAATATATAATCATAATTTCTAAGGAAAATGTTGTTAAAAAATTTTTAAAGTTTATAAACACCCTCACCACATGCGCAAACGGTAATTAATTGTAGTGATGAGTGTGTCAATTAATTTGATTATGGTAATCATTTCACAATGTATATGTATATCAAATTATCACATTATATATCTTGAAAATATAATTTTTTGTCAACTGCATCTCAAGGTAGAAAAAAGCATAAATGTACAAGGTCATAAATAAAAAAATTAAAAAAAGAAGTTTCTAAAATCAAAATTATGACAAAGCATTATCAAGAGCTATAAAAAAAGGGCTGGGGTTGTGGCTCAGTGGTAGAGCGCTTGCCTGGCATGCATGAAGCACTGGGTTCGATCCTCAGCACCACATAATAACAAAATAATGTGTCCACCTAAAACTAAAGATACATAAATAAATAAATATTTTTAAAAATTAAAAAAAGAGCTATAAAAGTGTATACCTTTAATTCTATAATACCATTCATAAAAATTTACCTGAAGACCTCATGTTCATGAACTATTAATGATTTATAATATTTATAAATACTATTTATAAATTGTAAAAACTCAGAAACTATAAATATTAATAGTATTTATAAATACTATTTATAAATTGTAAAAACTCAGAAACAGCTTAAATGGCCAAAATAGACATACTGTTAAATTTAAAATAACTATGGCATACCAAGTTAATGGATATTATGTAGTCTTAACGTGACAATGACAAAGAATCAGTAAAAATGTGCGACAATGCTATCTACCTGTACTAAGTAAAAAAAAAATGACCAATACAACGATTAAAGGTATATAGAGGGGAAGGATTGTATAACATTAAAAATGCAGATTCTGGAAACTGAGTTTGAATCTCAGCTCTGCCACCTACTGTGTGACATGGCCAAGTTATTTCATACATACTTCATACATCTGTAAAATGACAATAATAAAATTACCTTCCTTGCAGGCTATTGTGAACAATAAACTAGTATTTGAAAAGTGTTGAAAATAGTTCTTGAATATAGTAAAAATTACTTAAATTCTTGTAAACAAAACAGACTAGTCAAACTCTTTGGTTAACATACATAAATATGAAACAAGTATTTTGTTGGAGTTATGGAATTGTGCCTTTCTTTTTAGGAAAAAACAACTTTCTCCTTTATTTGGTTCTGATTTTAAGATTCTCTAAAAACAATATATAAACCAAAGTTAAGAAAAAATATTATTTCTTTACCTGATGAGCATATATAGTATCATATATCAGTGTCCACATAACTCCAGAAAAATAAAGAGGCAGGCACACAGATGGATCACAGGAACCCTTGATAGCAGACCATCCAAGTAATGCTCCCCAATTAAAAGTCAGCCCTATGATTGGTAAAACAGAGAGGGGGAAAAGTCAAGATGTACTTCAGAATTCCACATGGAAGGAGAGGGGCATCTGTATATACTAGGTGTTTGCTGTTTTAGGGTCTGAAGAGACTCCTATGTGTTCCTTCATTAAATTCTTTCAGCCGTCTATGGCACTTATTAGCTCAAAATTACCAAAAAGGAAAAAGGCTCAGAATTTAATTAAGAATTAAAATAACATAGCTAATAGAATAATATCACCCAATAAGGTAAATAGGTTTAATGAGAACATTCACCCTGCCTAATAAGGCACCTGGTGTAGTCAGTAAGCAGCAACTACTGGGGTCTGAACTTAGACCTGAAAAACGGAGTTCTTTCCAATACCACTCAACTTCTCCCGTAAATTATAGAAATAAGAGTAGAGATGGGAATACTCACCTATTCTACAAGCCCATCCTCCACGGTGAATGTGAACATAACAGCTCCTAAATCTCTATTTGTAAGTCTGATAACTTCCCTAAGCTTCAGACTAGACACTAACATTCTACTTAACATCTCTGCCTGTGACTCCCTCAGACACCTTAAATGCAACAATATTTTTTCTTAGAAACCCCTTTTCTCCTCTTTTATTGCCTATTTCTATTCAGAAAATGTCCTCAACTGTGGTTCTAGAGTATTCACACATGCTACACTGTACTACAAAGACCTGCTTATCTTTTGTCTTCTTCTCTACTTCCTTAAAGATGGTAAATGTGTTTTGATCATTTTTGACTTCCAAGTACCTAGGATAATTCCTGGCACAGGTAAAAGGAGTGTTTAATAAATGTTAGAAGCAAAGCAACAGCTTTTGAGTATTATCTTGTGGATAGGAAATGCTTAGGCTCCTTCTACCAAAAGACTCCCAGTTAGTTAAGAAGATAATTTTCTACTTTTTTTTTTTTAATAATGAAAATAAAGAGAGCATTCAATTAGAAATCTTAGAAGAAGATAAATAATTCTATCACAACAAGTCAGGCTTTCATCAATTGGCTGGAGTGCCCTTTTGCTCTATTATTTGTTGGAAGAATGGTCCCCAAACCTAGAATCACTCTTGGAATAATCTAGAACATTCTAGAAAAATAGAAAAGTCTAGGAGTAGATTTTTTTGCAATAGATTTTGACTTACTTATTAACATACCTATCTTTCTCTCTTTTCACCAACAAATAATCTACTGAAGACCTGCACTATGCCAAGTACTATATGTTAGATACTGCCATATGTAAAGCATGCCTTAACTTTTAGTTACTTACAATTTATTTTTTATTTTTTTTTAATATTTTATTTATTTTTTAGCTTTCGGTGGTCACAACATCTTTGTTTGTATGTGGTGCTAAGGATCGAACCCGGGCCACACGCATGCCAGGCAAGCGCGCTACTGCTTGAGCCACATCCCCAGCCCTCTTAAAATTTATTAATGGGGAAACATAGGAGGCTGTCAATATATTTTTGTTGAATTAATATTAAAATGAGTAAATGCCACAGTAGAGGGCTATGGAAGTCCAGAGATTAATGCCTTCTTGGGAAGTCTAAGAAAGCCTCACAGAATGGCTACTATCTAAGCTATCACACATACTTTTAATCCTTGTTCTTCTAGAATGCTTCCTATCTCATTCCCCAAATTTTTTAGGGCACCCATATCAATCATCTTTTTACAACATGCCTAGATTTGTCGGAGCGGGGTGGGGGGTGTTACTGAGGACTGTACCCAGGGGCACTCTACTATGAAGCTATATCCTCAGCCCTTTTTGAGATAGGGTCTGGCTAAGTGACCTTGAACTTGCAATCCTCCTCCTCAGCCTCCAGTGTAGCTGGGATTACAGGTGTATGTCACAGGGTCTGGAACAGGGGCAGGCTTTTTAAAAAGATTCCAGAAAATAATGATGATGAGGATGGGGATGATAATTAAATAAATATGCAAGATTTTCTTAGTCAATAGGAATGAATAAATGCCCTCTTTATAATATAAAAATTAATTTGGTTTGGAAAATTCATAACTGACTTGATATTTAATCTCTGTCTCTCTCTATATATATAAATAAATAAATAAATAAATAAATAAATATATATATATATATATATATATATATATATATATGTTGGGAGTATCAAAGGAAATACTTAGCTATTCCAAGCTCACCCAAGGCTAACTGAGGCCAGTATGTAATTCTCTTCATTAGTGGGTAGGTGATGACAAGAAGTAAGGATGCTGCTCCCAGAGCTATACTGAAAACAGGAAAAACAGGATTAATCATTAGAAACAACTAAGTATTTTAACGCATTAGTAATACTAAGTGGAAGATATTTTTATCTTAAGTAATATTTTCTGTTATGTAAAATTTTCTTCCTAAACTTTGACTTTTTCTATTAAAGGACTAATTAGAAAAATATTTTAAGTGTTATTACAAAACCCCAACAAAATAACAACTAATACACATAGTACTCTTATACTTGGCACTATTGTAGGTACTTTACATTTGTTAACTCATGAGAATCTTCACAATGACCCCAGGAGGCAGGAGGCTTTATTCTCATTCCTTTTTACAGATGAGAAAACTGTTACTTCTCAGGAAAAAGAAAGCAACTATGGAACCATAAGATGTTCTTAAATACCCAAATTTCAGCTGGGCATGGTGGCACACACCTGTAATCCCAGCAGCTCGGGAGGCTGAGGCAGGAGGACCACAAGTTCAAAGCCAGCCTCAGCAACAGGGAGGCGTTAAGCAATTCAGTGAGACCCTATCTCTAAAGAAAATACAAAATAGGGCTGGGGATGTGGCTCAGTGGTTGAGTGCCCTTGAGTTCAATCCCAGGTACCAAAAAACACCCAAAACAGAACAAAACAAAAAAACCCCAAGTTTCATCTAACACCATCCCTCCAGGAACAACCTTCCAAAAGTGCTTTTATGCTATCAGGGCAAGACATGTAATTAAGTCCAGTTTCTATAAAGTAATACTTATATGCTGAAACCTCTCCAACTCCAACACACACACACACACACACACACACACACAGCCTTGAGGTATTCTGTAACAGTCTTCTTATACACACATTGTGTCTCAGTTTAAGAGATCTAGGAGTCCTCCCACTTACTTCTTCTGTCATTCATTAGTTACATGAATCTGGGAAAGACACAATTCCTCTTACTGAAAATGATTCTAATCACTCCTGCTTCCATGTACTTCAGATAAAATTATCAGCATAAATCAAACTACATATACATGTGGGTGTATACACACTTATAAAACCCAACAAAGTACCTTGTGTTCCTCTGGGAACACATTGTACAAACAATGAAGGTGGTTCAGAACAAATTAAATGATGATCTCTTAACTCCTTTGGCTGAGAGCATCCTTGAAGCAGATTTTTTAATGTGTGGTGGTTTACTGTATTTATGCTTGCTAACTTACAGATGCTTGTCAGGTAGTCAATAAGCAACTTTGTGATAAAACTATTTCTATTTTACTTTTTTCTTACTTTTTTCATTTCAAAGAAGAGATTTTTATACATGATTATGAAAACACATTTAATATACCTGTAGTAATTCAAACACAGAAGAATACCCAGTGCCAAGGTCAGCTGTCCTCCAAGAAAAACAAAGGACTGAAAAATTGAAATGTCTCCAGCAGCTATCGGACGATTTGCTGTTCTTGTAACCTTAACACATAAAAATAGATATGTTAGCCTCATTTAATGACTCATTTATTTAAATAGTTAATCAAATGTTTGGCCTATGGTAGGCACCAAGGTACAAATATAAATAGAAAGAAAACAACATTTGAAGTACTGCCAAGAATTAGACTGCAACTTGAAACAGCTTTGAAAAGAGCTCAAGATTCCCATCCCCTATTTCCCATCTCCATCTTCATCAAACCAATCAAAGCAACTTCTTTATCTAGTTTTTTTTAGCTACTCAGCATAACAAATACACAAATTCAATTTCCATTAAAAAAAAAAGATGCACCATACTAATGAGAATTCTCAGGAAAGAGGAAACTGCAAGAGATATTAGAGAGGTTAATATCACATGAATGTTTTGAGCACAGGAAGCATTACCCTCAGAATTCAGACATGAGAAAGAAGACATATCTGGGCTCGTAAGGGGGGTGCTTTTGCCAGGTTACTTAAGAATGTGTCTATACATTCAATCAACTATACCCAAATGCTAAGGGCAAAACCACTCTGAAGAATGTGAATAGACAGAGCTGTTAAATAGACAAATTATATATACTAACTGTTCTTTTCCTTCAGGAAATGTGATTATCTTAAATTCAACCACAAATAAAGAATGTAACCAAAAATTTCAAAATTGCCAGAAGTTAAAAATTCAGAATCCGGGATGTAAGAACTCAGCATTTGAATCCATCACTTACTAGCTGGGTGAATTCTGGCAAATGACTTAAGCTCTTCTAGCCTTAGGTTACTTATCTATTAAAGGAAAAATAGGAAGAAATAATAATAGCACCACCTTATAGAGTAAATGCACTGAGGCATGTAAGTATGCAACAAATATTACCTATTGTTAACAACATATTTTTTTTATGACTGATATCAAAGGTTATGTTTTGTAGGGCAAATACAGTCTACTGCCTACCTCTGTGCAGCCAATGAGCTAAGAATGGTTTTTAACATTTTTTAAATGGCTGGAAATAATTTTTTTTAAAAAAAGTAATGTAAACATTAAAATAACATGAAATTCAAACCTCAATGTCTATAAATAAAGTTTTATTGAGAAACACAGCCATACTTTTTTATATATTATATATGTATGCTTTCACACTCTAACAAAGGATTGATTGTTTGCACCAAGGCAACTTGGCCTACAAAGCCTCAAGTATTTACTAACTAGTTCTTTATAGAAAAAGTCTGCCAATTAGATTTATATCATGTTTCATTATGCAATAAAGCAACTCATCCAAAACTGTAAAGATACATCCTAGTTAGAGTACCAGACTTGGATCTTTATTCCTGATATGGTTCTAAAGTTTGAAATTGGAAATAGTATTTGTTTTTGTATTTATTTCAAGATATTATCATTATTCTAACAAGTTAATGAGTGTTCACAATGTGCTACTATTCCAAGAGCCATATCTGCATCCTTTCACTCAATCCTCATAGTCATTCACAAGTTCTTGAAACTACTAATGTTAATGAAACTGAGGAAGAGGCTTTGTAACTTTCCAAGGTCACAGATGCTAAAGGATAGCAGTCAGTCCATCCTAATAACCACATCACTAACCACTAGATAAAGTAGTACAGAATTACCTAACTAAATTTGAAAGCTTCAAATAAACAAGACTCCATCAAGAATAGAGATGATATGACACATTGGTCAAAACATATTCTATGAAACCAGAACATGAAGAGCTTAAGTAACCAACTAGAAGAGCTTAAGTAATTTGCCAAAATTCACCCAGCCAGTAAGTGATGAATTCAAATACTGGGTTCTCAGATCCTAGATTCTGAATTTTGAACTTCACTGGATGCCTGAAACAGCAGAGAATACCAAACCCTAAGTATACTATTCCTTTATGTACATACTGTAGGTAGTTAATTTATAGATTAGATACAGTAGGATATTAACTACAACAATTAAAAATGAATAAAATCATAACAATATACCTTAATAAAAGAGAGTTCACCATTTTACTCAGAATGGTACACAATATAAAACTTACAAATTGTTTATTTCTGTGATTTTCCATTTAATGTTGTACTTGACGTTGGATAATTTAAACCTCAAAAGGCAAAACCAAGGATAAAGGGAACTCCTGTATAACCAATGCTTACGGGACAATTTAGATTAAGATTTGATAAATAAGCATAGTTAGGGCACCACATACATCTCAATGAAAGGGACAGCAGATCTTTTGGACACTAAAAGGTTCAGGAGGGATTTTTCACTTTTACTCCTACACTTTATCTCCTTTACCCTCAGTCTCCCAAATTCTTGTGAATTAGCTTTGCCAAAATGAAGTGCATGGGCTGGGGTTATGGCTTAGTGGTAAGTGCTTGTCTAGCAAGTGTGAAGCACTGGGTTCAATCCTTAGCACTATATACAAAATAAATAAATAAAATAAAGGTATTATGCCCATCTACAACTAAAAACTTTTTTTTTTTTTTTTTTGTAAAATGACGTACAGTTTGCCCCATGCTACTCTTGTGTTGAGGAAGAAAGTAAACTGCACTTTGCAATACCAACTTTTCAAGTGACACTGACATTTCTCATGCTGGCTTTTAGTGAGGACACTAATTGATCCTGTTGCTTTTTATGGCATTCAAAAGTAATGCCACCATGTTATTCTATAGAATTGAGAGAAGCCACTCTGTTATTTTTCAGGATAAAACTACCTTTTTATCGTAGTCATGGTCCCACATGTCATTAATAGTACAGCCTGCTCCACGCATCAGAATAGCTCCAGTGCCAAAGAGGGATAACATGTACCAATCTGGAAAACAACCTGGTTCAGCTGCCAAACCAATGCTCCAGGTACATGGCAAATACAGTAGCCAGGTTCCTAAGCAAAAAATATAAAGACAAAACAGGTACAAACACTCATCAGTTAACTGTTTTTATTTGTTTAAATGCTCATGCTACTGAAGTAAGGAGCACTATAAGCAAAGTAAAAAAATACACGACAGAACTGGGAAAACAAATATTATAAAGGATTGCTCTCCCTAATATGTAAAGAGCCCCTAGAAATGAAGAAGAAAGAGATCAGTAGTCCAACTAAAAATGAATAAAAGATGTAATAAAAGTTTGCACAAAAAGATATACAAATGGCTCTTATTCACAAGAAGAGACACTCAACTTTGAGAAACACATTAAAACTACATTGAGACAACATTTTTCACCTGTAAGACTGGCAAAACCCAAAGTCTGATGACATACCCTGGGAGTTAGACACTCATGTATTTCTGATGAGGTTATAAAATGGTCCTACCCTTATAGAGGATAACTTAAAAACTGTTATGCTATGAATTTGTATAAAACACATCTATGTATAAAACAAATACATATATGTGTTAGTATGTTCACATACTATGTCAGTAGGGGCACATTAGAAACATAATAATTGCTTCTGAAAAGGGGAACTGCATGAATAAGAGGGGTGGAAAACTTATTTTTCACTCTAGCCTGGCAACTTCTGAATTCTGTATCATTTGCACATAATAGCTGCTCAAAAAAGTTAACAGAAACCTCCTTTACAGTTAGTACAATACACTGAGATGGAGTTGGAGGAGAGGAGTTATTCGCATACAGCTATTTGTTATTTGTAACATATGTTACAACTACATGTACAAACAGAGTTAATTCTTAGTATTTAACCCACAAACTAGATGAAATTAAGCAAATAGATTGGGTTATTTGTTTTTTGGTGTTTAGCTTTTGAGTTCTTTATATACCCTAGAGATAGTGCTCTACTTGATGTGTGAGGGGTAAAAATTTGCTTCCGAGATGTAGGCTCTCTATTCACCTCACTGTTTCTTTTGCTGAGAAGAAGCTTTTTAGTTTGAATTCATCCCACTTATTGATTCTTGGTTTTAATTCTTATGCTATAGGAGTCTTATTAAGGAAGTTGGCGCCTAATCTGACATGATGAAGATTAGGGCCTACTTTTTCTTCTATTAGATGCAGAGTCTCTGGTTTAATTCCTAGGTCCTTGATCCACTTTGAGTTGAGTTTTGTGCATGGTGAGAGATAGGGGTTTAATTTCATTTTGTTACAAATGGATTTCCAGTTTCCCCAGCACTATTTGTTGAACAAGAGGATATCCAGTCAATCTACAAATATATGAAAAAATGTTCATCATCTCTAGCAATTAGAGAAATGCAAATCAAAACTACTCTAAGATATCATCTCACTCCAGTCAGAATGGCTGCTATTATGAAGACAAACAACAGTAAGTGTTGGTGAAGATGTGGGGAAAAAGGTACACTCACACATTGCTAGTGAGACTGCAAATTGGTGCAGCCATTATGGAAAGCAGTATGGAAATTCCTTGGAAAACCGGGAATGGAACCACCATTTGACCCAACTATCCCTCTCCTCGGTCTATACCTAAAGGACTTAAAAACAGCATATTACAGGAACACAGCAACATCAATGTTTCTAGTGGCATAATTCACAATAGCTAAACTGCGGAACCAACCTAGATACTCTTCAGTTGATGAATGGATAAAAAAAAATGTGGCATATATACACAATGGGTTATTACTCAGCAATAAAAGAGAATAAAATCATGGCATTTGCAGGTAAATGGATCGCATTGGTGAAGATAATGCTAACTGAAGTTAGCCAATCCTATAAAAACAAATGTTGAATGTTTTCTCCGATATAAGCTGACTGACTCAAAGTGGAGTAGGGAGGGGGAGCATGGGAGAAATAGATGAACTCTAGATAGGGCAGAGGGATGGGAGGGGAAGGGAAGGGGCAGGGGGTTAACAAGGATGGTGGAATGTGATGGACATCATTATCCAAAGTACATGTATGAAGACACGAATTTGTGTGAGCATACTTTATATACAACCAGAGATATGAAAAATTGTGCTGTATATGTGTAACAAGAATTGTAATGCATTCCACTGTCATTTATTTAAAAAGAATGAAAAAAGAAATTAAGCAAATAGATTATACAGATAAGACTTTACACATGAACTTCAATAGATATTCTACTTTAAAAAGAAAGCCTGTCAACTAATGTTTGGATATGGTGCCAATTAGATAAAACTCTGAGTTTTCTTCCCTTATTCAGGAACAAGAGAAAAAGGATTCTGGGATAAATGAAGATAAAATCCTGCAAAAAAAAAAAAAAAAAATGGCCAAATGACCAATGTTCCCATAATCATTTATGAATGTAAATTTATTCATTTATAAATATTTATGAAGCACACATTTGTGCTAGGAAACAGGAATACAATGGTGACCAATAAAGAGCTGCTTTCTGCCTTCATAATGCTTATAAATCAAAAGTAAGAAATTAGATGAAAGACTAATCCAACAACTATACAGGAACAAGGTGCTATAAAGGGATAAAATAGAACTACCCAAGTTATTTGGGGAGGAGGTGAAGAAGAATCAGGGAATCTTTTCCAGTGGGTGCTTAAACTCAGAGCAGAAAAGTCAAGGAGAGGCCTCAAGCTAAAACTTGCGACATGCCCAGTCCAGTACCTGAATTCAGATTGTCCTGGAGAGATTCATATTTAGTGTATCCCACCTAAAATAATAACATTAACATTTACTGAATGTTCACAAAATGTCAGGCAGTGTTTCAAATATTTTTTATACATAAACTCATCCAAACCTCAATAACATCCTCATAAAATAGGTTCTATTAGTAACTCTATCTTACAGATGAAAAAACAGGAAAACAGAGGTTAAGTAAAAGATAATAGGTTTGACTACTTCCTTTACCTTGGAGCCGCCAGTAGAATTTGCAAGGAATAGAGATATTGCTGACACTATCATCCTAGCCTAGAGAAGAAATAATTACTTCACAGCTATTATTTACTGGTGCAAGTAGAACTGAAGTTTCTAATAAAAAGAAAAAAAAATCGAGATCAGGTCTGAGAAGAGATGGGCAGACCAAAGTGCTTGTAAAAAGAGAGCCTAATATTCATTCACTACTTGTGGGTTAACTTTAAGAAAACATAATCACCCATAAATGCAGTAAAACAAAAAATTACACTGCCAATTTAGTGGAAAGAGCGCCACCTACTGAAACTTCTGTTGAAAGAGCGCCACCAACTGAAAAATGTTGATTGACCCATTTTAAAGAAGTTATTATAATATCTTCAAAAACAATGAAATCTACTGCTTTATGAAAGTATCAAAATGTAGCTCTAAAAAGTAAAATAATGCATACAAAATTTCCTTACAGGATAACTTAAATAAATAAATATTAAACCAGGAATTCTTTCAATTATTGTCCCTGGCATATGTAAGGGCTCAAAAATGTTTGTTGACTGAACTCTTTTTAAGTTTCCTGAAAAATTCTGTAATCATTTTATTTAGACTCAAAAGATGTATTGTAAGGATGGTATCTTAACGTACATGACCATAAACACAACTTTCTCTAATAATTACTTCTGGCTTATATTTCTTGAGTCCTTGTTATATGCCAGGCACTTCCTGATAACCTTATGAAATTGTTGTTAGTATCTTCACTTTATAGTTAAGAAATCTAGCCCAAAGAGGTAAAGTAGTTTAACTAAGGTCTCTCAAATGTGTGATGTAGAGATCCAAATCTAAGAGATCTGGCTCCAAAACTTGCTCATAAATTGTTTATAGACTCCGGTTACATGGCAAAATGTTCAGTCAGTAAGATAGAAGCCAGAGGTTTAATTATGGAAATAGTAATAATGGCAGCTATTGGTCTTTTTAGAATGTCTGTAAATCTCTCATATAGTTCTGTGATGCAGAATCCAAGAACAGAACTAACAGTGAAGCTTTAGATTAGAACTGGGCTTAGAAATTTATGCCTATAAACCTGAATCTGGCCCCCAAATGCAAGGGGGTCATTCCAACAATGACAGGGCTATACCTATTATTTAATATATTTTTTACTTTAATTGCTGTTATGATTCAGCTATCTGATTCCAAATAGGAGTACAAATCTAGACAAAACAAGCCCTAATTGGGGGTCTTGAATGGACAAAGGCCAAGTGAATACATGTAGGCATTCAAATGTGTTTCCATACCCTGATATGGCAAATGTCAACATCCACATTAGCTAGAATACAGCCTTATCCTCTTTCTCCTTGTTATTCATCTTCTTTAGTCCAGCCTTGTCTCCTGCAATTTTCTATACCCTCTTGGGAGTTGCAGGTGAGGCTCATACTCTTATTGCTCCAACACTCCACCCTTGGATCTTTGCAAAAATATTTCCCCCACCAAGACCTCTTTCCTCCTCTGCAAAATCAAAATATTCTTTGGAGTACAATTTCTTCTTAAAACTTTTTGAAGTTTCTTTTTTTTTTTCGAGACCCAAAGTAATTTCTCTATTTTTTTCTGCAGCACTGTACTACTCCTATTTGATCCCATACTTCCCATTTCATCAAGTATCTTTTCCAAACATACCAGATATCCTCGAAAGCAGGGAGTTTCCATAGCTCTTTCTAGCCCTATGGCTAGGGCGATGTGATAAGAACTTATTAATTCAGTTAATACTATTGCCAAAAATGTTCTAGAGAGTAGACAAGAGCTAAGTCCCAGGTATACGGAGCTTATATTACATTAGAGGAGTCAATAAAATAAGTGCATAGAGATAGTTAATGGTGAATGCTATTGGAAAAAAAAAAGAGGTAGAGAGTGAGGTGGTAGGTGTTGAATAGGAGGTCTGGGAAATCCTCTCAGCGGGCGATTATAAGGTCCAGAAGGGATGTACCAACTGCCTTCAAATGTACTAAATCTTTTGTTACGGATGACTGGGCGGGGGGGGGGGGGGGAGTAAGTTCAGCACTGAACCGCTAGGTTCTGGTCTGGGTCTGATGAGGACCCTTAGTTTCTTCAGTGTCTTTAGTATTTGCCTCACAGGATTGTGGAGAGGATCCATCTCTCTAGTAACTGCAGAAGTGCTTCAACACTGAAAAGTTGCAAATGCGGGGCCACGAGAACGCAATGCTTCGGTAGATTCACCATTTACACCAGTGGGATTTTTTTTCTTCTTGCCTGCCTCTGGGACTCAGGGTGAAAGTCGGCTGGTCCCTCCGGTGACCGTCCCGATCCTATAACGAGGTGACCCGTCCTAGAACACACGACACCGAGGCGCCAAGCCGGCTTTCTGGTGCTCATTTTCAATACGCCCGGGCGGGCCACCGCGGAGAGTTCCGAGGGGTACACTCGGAGACCCGCGGCCAGCAGAGCCCCGGGCCGCTCTTGCGCGCGCCCGGCAGCACTCACCAATGGGCTTGTCCAACCGCATGAGGCGCAGATAGGGCTGCACAGGGCGGGGCGCCGAGCTCACGACCGCAGCGGCCGAAAGGCTGAGCGGGCGCCGGTGTAGCTGCGGTGGGGCTGGGGACAGCCAGTCCCCTGCGCGGGGCGCGCCTGCTGTGTGCGCCACTGCCAGCGCACGGCAACTCGAGTCCCGCAGCCATGCCGACGCCACGACCCGCAGGCCCCGTGCAAGCACTGCTCCCCGAAAGCCCAGCATGGCGCTAGGGAGGCCGCGACGCCGGGCCACGTCATCTTCCAGCGTCGGCTCGTGGGCAGGCATGCGCGGTGGCGTCAGGGAAAACGACCGTCCCTCCTGAAGCAGGTGGGTGGCCTTCAGGGTCGCTTTACCTTGTGAAGGGGTGTGTGGTAGTACATTCCTGTTATCAGTTTTCTCAATGGATGTGAAAGGAAAATGTTCATTCACATGGAACAGTTGTACCCAGAGAAAAGTTGAGAAAAACTTACCAAGCTTGAAATTTTAATTTGCATCCAGATTCTTCCCTTTTAAATCTAAATGAGCACCAAGTAGCCAAATAAATCCAAGAATGTAAATTGAAACTGTAGTCAAGGTCAAGGGACGTTCATTCCAACAGCGAAAACCTTAAATTTGACAGTCGTCCAAAAGAACTCCTATAATGGGGAAGTAGTGAAAGTGTGTAATTCCAAGACCCTGAAGCTAGAACATCTGGTCGGCACACTTAATTGTGTAGTCTTCTACACTGATGGATGCAAGACAGTTTACGTGTGATCCCATTTAATCTCTCATTGAGTGACCCTAGGCAAGTCACTTATCTGGAATTTCCCATTGTCTGGAATTTGCACCAGGGTCTCTCTTGATTTAAAATTCAAGAAGCGTCATGAATGCTCTTTCCATCTTTGGGGGGAAAATGTGATAAAACAGTTATATTTTTATAATACCGTCAATCCTAAAATGCCAAACTCCAGGAACGAGGAAAGCTCTAAAATGTCAGCCCTTGCTGACTGCAGACACAGGGTGTAGGCCTTTTCTACCTCTCCTGCACCACGTAAAAATCAGTGTTTTGCTGGACAGTCTTTGCCATAGAGGCACAGGAGTTTCTGTAGCCCTATCTTACTAGGAAACAATCTGGAGCTCCTGAGGCTGCACTGGCCCTGAGATGAGAGTATTCTTTGGGGATTTGAGTCTTCATGGGGAATCCTGTGGGCTTGGGGGACAAGGACCAGCAGTGCTGGGGGATACCACCTGACGAGCTATCCACTCTTATCCATGTGTTTCAATTCCTCCTCCTCCTCCTTTTTTTTTTTTTTTTTTTTTTTTTGGTGCTGGGGTTTGAACCCAGGGCCTTGTACATGCAAGACAAGCATTCTATCAACTAAGATATATCCCCAGTGCCTTCTTCAAATGGCTTCTCAAACTCAATGAAGATGTTGCCTTGGCCTTTGGAAACATTCTTGCCTTTGGTAATTCTTGGCCTTTGGTAACACATTCTTTCTGTTAGTCCAGCAGCACTTAGATGATCCCCAAATGTGGGAAATATCCATGTAATATGATTCTAGTTAAGTTTCTTCAAAGCCTCCCATTTTCACAGATTTAGGGCAAAGGGTTCACCTTTCTCTTTCTTTTTCATCATTTTTAGGCAACTGATATTTGGAATGAGGTTGCTGTCTGTTGTCCTGTCACTGGTGAGTTGAAACTGGAGAAGATAGGAGGAAATAAGGACTTCTAGAGTGGCTAGGCTTTGTCCTTCAGCTTGATGCAGAAATGCTGGTCCCAGTTCCAGTCAACAGGAATGCCCTTACATGGGGCTAAGCCTCTTTGGTTTCCTTGGTGACTGCCTTATTTTATCTTATTTTTGTGGGGTACCAGGGGTTGAACTGAGGGGCACTTAACTACTGAGCCACATCCCAGCCCTTTTTTGTATTTATTTAGAGACAGGGTCTCACTGAGTTGCTTAGGGCCTCACTAAATTGCTTAGATTGGCTTTGAACTTGAAATCCTCCTGCCTCAGCCCCCTGAGTCACTGGGATTATAGGCGGTACCACCATATCCAGCCTAAGTGACTGCTTTATTGTGTGTGTGAGTGTGTGTGTGTGTGTGTGTGTGTGTGTGTGTTGTCAGATCAGGCGAGGCGGGCAGCGACCAAAGGAGGCAGATTTAAAAGGGCCGCTGAACAGGCTTTATTGAGACTCACTTCCCTGCGGAACTTCATCAGACCCACAGAGTGGACAGGGGAAGGGTCTGAGGAGAAACCGCGTGGAAGCTCGACCAGACTGGACTTTTATGGGGCTTACTGCAGGAAGGGAAGGGCTTGGGACAGGAAAAGGTGTTTTTAGGGTCCTTTGTCCCATTGGAGTTGGTCAGGGGAGTTGGCTGAACTCCAGGATTGGCCAGGGGGTCCTGCTGATTGACAGGCGTTCTGCCGGCACCTGATTGATGTTCTTTTCCTGCGGGGGGTGGGGGGGGCTGCTTTGTTCTAAGTCACCACTAAATCGACACTAAGTCGCCACCACTGACCTAACTTGTGTGTGTGTGTGTGTGTGTGTGTGTGTGTGAGAGAGAGAGAGAGAGAGAGAGAGAGAGAGAGAGAGAGAGAGAGAGAGAGAGAGTGCCTTATCTTTAGCACAGTCTTTACACTTGCCATCAGAGTGGCTTCTGTGTTTGGTAAGCCCCTAGAGTTGGATGATCTTGGAGGATTGAGGTGGTGGTTGAGTTTCTGAGTTTGCTATTTTGTGTGATTACACTGTACTACTGAAATTTACATGCAAGAGCAGCATCTTCCCATTCCCACTTCATGGGCCTTTGAGATTGTAAATAAAGCCCTTCAACTATAAAACATTTTTTCTCAAAATACTTATAAAACTTTATTTAATGGAATTTTTAAGTAATTTTCCTTTTGTATTTTAGTAATTTATAATATGTTTTTCTCATTTTGATTGAAAAATTCTTAAAGCCAGGGACTGTAAATAACTAAATATAATAAAATATTCAGAGCATTCTTATTTTATGAAAGCACTGTGTTTATTATATAGAGAATGAGTCTCAAGGAGCACAAAGACTAGAGAGGAAAACATTGTTTTGCCAACAATATTCTCAATTCTTTGATTATCTGTTACCAGCTGGCTGTCCTACAATTTAATTTGGACACTAACTGCCCAGAGTTATTAAGGTTCAATTCTACAAGACCATCCCTTACTTCAGACCCCAGCCACAAATGGGTCCCTATGTTACCTGCACTTCTGCCTGGCCAACTACAAATTTGGGGTTCCTGTGACCCTCACTCAAGGTTTGATAATTCTCTAGAAAGTACTACATTTATGTAGAAAGTACATTTATGATTATAGTTTACTATGAAGGATACAAATTAACAGACAGATAAAGAAGTACATAGGGAAAGGTTCAGAAGGACCCAAGCACAGGAACTTCTGTCCCCAAGAAATCAGAGTATACAAGCTTCCTGGTACATAAATATGGTCACCATCCATGAAGTTCTAGCCTCATTATTCAAACATTTTTTATTGGCGCTATATTATATAGGCATGATTGATTAAACCAATAGCCACTGGTGATTGAATTCAATTTCTAATCTCCACCTTGAGAATGAGGGGTGGGATTGAAATTTTTAAGCCTCTAATTTTGAGGATGACCAGGCAGGATGCATCTTGGGTAACCTTATTCGAATAAACTCAGGTATGGTAGAAAAGAGCTCCTTATAAATAATAAAGACTTTCTGATCGCTGGGGATATTCCAAGGATTTCTAAAGCTCTAAGCTAGGAATAAGAGACAAATACTGCTCCTAACCCAAATATATATACGTGTGTGTGTGTGTGTTTTGAATATTTCCATCTACCCATTCATTCATTCATCCACAACTCCCAAGGTACCAGGAAGACTGGAGCATAGCTCCGTAAGTATTGACATTTCAAGGAGGGGTGAGACTCAGAAGCATGCAAGTATCTCTAGATCACAAAAGCTGGACACAAATGGAAGTCTATCTTGCCCTAAAGAGATTTTATTTTTATTCCTAAAAAGTTAGCTTTGAGAGCCCAGAATTCTTTGGATCGCATCTCCAACAAGCAAAGGACTTTCCCTTTTTGTGAGGTGTGAGAAGAAAGCTACCTCTTTTTCCTGCATGCAAGCAGAGAACATCATATTTCTTCTCTCCTCACCTTTGGAAAAGACTTTCAAATTTGTACAGATACAACATTCAACCTGGTTTTGACTGCATTGCCCCAGGAGTGAGAAATATGGTATGGGGAATCATACAAGCAGTATTTGCTTTCTAATGTGAATAATAAATCTGTCTCATCTAAACATGTCATATTTACACTCAGGCTAAAATTAATAAATGTTTAAAATATAAGAGAGAACAAAAGCATGGCCTATTCTTAGACCCATAGTTATGACCTCTCGCCCACGTCCTGCGCAGGCGGTGAGAATGGGGTTCCCCTCAGTGGAATGAGTTGGCTGCGAAATAAAAGATAAGAAAAATGGAACAATGAAAAAAACCACAGCACACAGAAAATATTTTCAAAAAGTGGGGGCAGGTCGGGCAAGCCGACCACACCAATTGAACTTCTAGAATAAATGGCAAAATGGAGCCTGTGCTTGCTTTATTTATGTCAGGGAATATCAAAGCCCTCCCATAGAATGTTCTTCACCAAAAAAGGTTAAAGATGGGCTGTCCAGTTCCCAACATCTCCGGAGCTACTATGAAGGATCTTCCTAGTAGAGTGAAGATAAAGATCATGTGCCTTTGGCAATCTCTTGCATGGGAGAATCATGAATAATTACCAAAGTTATCCCTAAAATCTCCCTGGCTGCCATGAAGAGAAGACCCTTGAGTAATTCACAGGTGGCTTCCCACAATGATGTTTTTTCCTTTTTTTGTAGTGGGGATTGAACCAGGGGCATTTAACCACTGAGCCACATTCCCAGCCCGTTTTTATATTTTATTTAGAGATAGGACATCTCACTGAGATGCTTAGGGCCTCGCTAAATTGCTGAGGATGGCTTTGAACTCACAATCCTCCTGCCTCCAGAGCCACTGGGATTACAGGTGTGCACCACCATGCCCATCCTGTAGATATATTTCAAGAAGAGTGTTGAGGAGCAAGACACAGGAAGATTGTGAGTGTCTCACAAGAAATCCATCATATAAGGATAGGCAGAGAAATACAGAGAAGGGACAGCCAGAGAGAGAAGTAGAAAACTGGGAGAGGCTGTATCAAGGAAGCCAAGTGAGAAGATGATTTCAAGAAGGGAAA